ATATATATATGTGTCGACAAGTTTTACTGATACATTAGTAAGAGGGACTGGCCTTCATTTTTCCGACTGCTTGCCAACTGGGAAAACAATTTTTCATAAAAATAGCAAATGCTTTTCAATCAAATCAAATCATATAGATGTGCCTTTTGTTCACTGTATTATTCACACAAGCCATGCTTTAGAAAGCAGTACATTTTCAAGGTAACAGTCACCCTCAGCATGTGTCCTATTCAACACTTACATATTCAAAAATAACCCCAGGGTTGCTGTGACTTAGTTTTCCAATCTGACGACCTGAAGGCTTTACATTTTCTTTGGACAATCTCCTGCAAAACAAAAGTAATAAACAATTTTAGTAAGATATTTTCAGTACAATATTGTATCATTTTAATCAAAATGATTTAAAATCATATTAAAGGTATAATAACTCTTCGTTTCGGCCAAAAAATGAATTTTCCTGGAGTAAACAACAATTTTCCCATACTTACCAATGGTAAATGAATCCATTTTTACATTCAGAGTTAGTCCCTGGTTTTTTTCTAAAAAGTTTGGTTTTTTGTTAAAATCTCTTAAGAGATTTTAACACAGTATAGCCATCAATGGAGGTCACGTGGTCTAAAGACAAGCTCAGATATCAGAAAAAATAGCTATAACTGCCGTTTTTGTGGTAAAACAGAATATATTACATTTCTATGAGTTATTCACAATGTTTTTATTGTGAAATATAGATCTCATACGAAGAGTTATTATCCCTTTAAAAAGTGCAAAAAAAAAAAAATTTATGTTATAGACTAAAATTAATGATCAATAATATTTCAGATAACAGCATATTTTAAAACTTATTATATAAAATAATACAATTTTCTAGAATAGTCAATGATAAGTTGTGAGCAATATGTCCTGGATCCACACCTAAAATACTAGGATTTTTTTCTTAAAATCTGAATTTAAAATAGTACATTTTTCTTAAGATCAATAAAGGGAAAAACTGTAGTGTGCTTACTTCATGATATACTTAGCTCGTTCTAGGCAATCTGCTCTTATTTTGATCAATCTAGGTTCAATGTTGTATGTTTCATTTTTCCAATGCCCATAAAGAAGATATCTGGAAATATAAATAAATAAATGAAAATCACTTAGATAAAAATTACTAAAAGGTATAATGTCTTTTGGTTGTTTACTCAAGTCACTGAAATTAACAGAAAATTAAAAAAAATTCAATTGCTCATTTTTATCACTAGCCTCAAAGTCATTTCAGTCAAACAAATTGTGTCTGAGGTTCTGGCCGAAATCTATGTCTTTGATCCTCAGATTTAATTCCTACTAACTAATCCCTTTAAGCTACAGGCAGTGGGGTATTTGTTTGGGTATGTTATCACATGGGGATTAAGGTAAACTCAACAAGTATGTGTGGTAAGTGAAAAAGTAACAAGCATGTCTAAATTTAAGTACATCGTCCAATTTTCTCATTACGTCAACGTCAACCACTCAACAAAACAAACTATTTGGAAGTAAAATTCATGTAACATATAGTCAATACTTCAGGCATTGATCACTGGACCAGTTTATCTGATTATCAAATGAAATCAAAGTGGCCAAACCTTAAGCTAATTTCATTTGACAGAACTAAGCAATAGCAGAATAGTATAATCATGTCAGTTTACCATAGAAAGATTAAAAGATTCAATATTATTTCATGTGAAAGTGAAATGGGAGACTTCTTGTAAGGCACATCCTTTGTAAATACCAACCCTGACTGGAATGAATTCAATCTGAAGAAATACTCATCTTCTCCTAAATAGCAATCTAAGAAACCCATATTCAATGTATTCTTTTAATTCCCACTCTTGAACTTAAAACTTAAACTTTTAATGCTCATGTCTTCTACTTTACAACAATTTTACTTGATCTCATTCTTTTTAAATGCATCACACTGACATTTCTTCCAAATCAATAATAGGCATTTTTTTTTACATATCAATGTTTTTTAAAGATACAGAAAAGAAAAAAAGACAAAATGCACATACAAAATAAGTGTTACTACATTACATGCTTTTCACAGTATGCATCAACCACTGGCACAGTGTCATTTTTCAAGGAAACAATAAATATTAAATTCATTAAACAGACAGAAGACATTTCTGACTGTCACTAATTATGAGACAATACCTCTTTATGAATGCTTTCATCAATAAAAACTTTGCCAAAAAGAGATGGACCAAGTCTTCATTAGAGAATGGGTGCTTTTTTCAAAAAGGTTAGCATCAGTATGCATAGAAATTAAAAATCTACAACTTTCACGTACCAAATTTGAGCACTTCATTCAGATAAATTGGCATCAGAATACTCTTTAAGGCCTCTCACCATCAAAATGTTTGGTTCCACTGAGCAAATAATAAAAAAAAAAGTTTTTTTCTAATCCTTCAGTTAGGAGCCAGGAGTAAAAGATGCCACTTTGTGATAGAGAAGGTTAAAAACATTAGCAGAAAGGATCATCTTTCTTTAACGAGAGTCGACAAAACACTAAACTATCTGGTGCTAATAACCCATGTGGCATCCTCTTCTTAGCCTTGCTGCCACAAAAACTGAATAGTTCTACAGAATGTTTTAAAATACAGAAATTTACCTGCATACACCTTAAGGCGCCTAACATATGCCTAGTAAACTGATTAGGTAGTCAAAACTCCACTAATGCAAACAGATGGTCTCACATGAACTACAAATGGGCCAAAACATGCATAGCTTTATTATGTGAAAAAAAAATGAGTACAAATGAAAGTAGATAACACCTGTCATGTCATAAAAACAATTAATCTATTTGACCTTATCAAAAACCCTGGATAAGAAGGTCAGCTAAACCTTTAAATATTTTCAGGAAATTGAACATACTAAAGGTAATCCCTCTTAATCTTAATCCTTCCCTGTCTGCAGGTGATCTATTTCTAGCTCTCTGATTGCTGAAAAGTCAACAAAACACTTATGGATTTTTGTACTTAGGAGTCACTCAATCCTTCTTAATGATCTATAAAATATTCATACAAAAAATAAAAAAAGAAATGTTAGATAATTGTTATCCTTAAAGCCACCTGTCTAGGTTTTGAGATTTAATCAGAAAAAAAACTTCCATTCACTGAGGTGAGGCAACCCTGCTGAGAGCATGTTTATAAGTCGGAACTTCCAATTTTATATCTTAATATAAAGAGTGGAACACGCAGTTTGAGGCTAGTCCTAAAAATATGCAGGTGTCCTAACAGTTAGGCAGGTTAACACAACACCAACAGGTCTCAGCTTGGGTCGGTCCAAGAGCACAACAGTTAGGACTCAACAAACGAGGAAATAAACTGACTGCATTATGTAAAGCATTTAAAGTCTCCGTTAAAGAAAATGAAAGCGTGACAAAGTTCAATCAGAAGCTCATTGGTTAGACATAAGTGTGCACTAGGAGTGATCCATGAGAGGTCCAGTTAGGTGTAGTGTTAACCCAACTCTTCGACTTGGGAGTTTGTCAGAAGGTCTTACTAAGTAGGTAATCATTTGGAAATCGTGAAGAGAGGGCATTTAAAAGAGTAATGTTCGTGGTGATCTTTAAAACTTCCAAACATCAAGAAACTCATGTGAAGTCTAAAAAAAATCTTCAGGGAAATCAATCACAGGATTATTTTGCAGTTTATGTGTCTACCTGGGAAGTACATACAGCTGAAACATTAGGCTTTTTGCTAATGTCTAGGAGTGCTTGGGAAATATTCCAAGGATCAAGTGATGGCTAAAAGAGGTGAGAAGTTTTTATTTGTGATCAATTCACATTACATTATGAATTATTTGAAGGTAAATTCTGTTTGCTGCTGACAATCTTTTTACTTTCTCTTACACAAATTTTCATTTTGACGTTGTGCCAGAAATTAAAACCAATGACAGTGATTGCAATTAGGAAAAATCTCCCACAGAGTTGAACTGATCCAGCTAGTACAATGGGTTTATCTGAACGCTCCCTAAAACTCACATTTTAAGTAAAAGGGTTTATCTACCATAACTGTCATATTCTTGTTTTTTTTTTTTTTTTCTAAAATGCTGGATTTGCTGTTTTTGTTTCAATTTGTTGGCTGTATGAATTCATGATCAAGAGCCAACTCAAGGCAAAACAATCAGATCTATGTGGCTTTATTGATCAAGCTGCAATTTTTAAAGTGGAGGACTTCTGATGACATGTTTCAAGTCCCTGGAGAGCAGAGTCAAGTGTTCTTTCCTGAGTCAGAAACTCAGTAAGTTGATAGGTTTTTTTTTCCATGTGCATGGATTAGTTAAATTACCCGTAAATAATGAACTAATGAAGTCTGAGTGTTTCTGAAATATGAGAGGTAATTGCAAACATATATCTCTCACAGACTCACAGGTAAAAAAAATAAAGATTTGCAGCATTACTTAAGTTTTACAGTAAAAGCATATCTTTAATCATTATATATTTCATCAAATTAGTCACATCAATGGGTCAATCAAGAGGCATTCTAATTGAGAAGTACTACGACTTGCATCCATTTGTTTAAGCAAGTTAACAGGTCTGGTTCTTGTATGATCAAAAGTTCCATTGCTTTTTACCTAGAGAACAGATGAATAAGTTGCCAGCATTGTTTTGTCCTAAGACTTTGAATTTGGACATAGTACAAAAACTGGAGAAGATGAACAAGTCAACTACATCATGTTGTACAGAAGCTGAATTTTGCCACAACATGGAGAAGCTGAGCAAATTCACAGCACAACTTTGTAAAGCAGATGTTTCAATGAATTAATTGTTAATTATTGAGCTGCTGTGGATATTTTCAAAACTTGTATAAACATATCTTTTAATCACACATCCTTATACTTAAAGACTTAGTCTAATTTCTTTTACAAGTCTGATCTGTAATTCATTGCTCATTTTAGGGTGTGTCAGAGATGTAAATGAGACTGCACATATAATATAATTTTATATTTCATTTGCCATTCCTCTAAAAACACATCTACCTCCAAATTCAAGTTGTCTGTAAGAGTGAACAAAGGTTCCAAGATTCCCCCTTACTGCTGAGATAAAGTCTCATCATTTCCATTACCAGCTCGAGGTAGATATCTATTGATTTCCTTCAGACTTAATCTGACTGTAGATTTTTTTATCAGCTTTATTACCTTAATTTGTCATTTACAAACAGGTTCATAGACCATAAGATTCATAACAGTTTTCATCTATATTTTATCTGCCTGTAAACTGCTAATTTGACAGGGGATATTGCAAGCCAGAGGGCAAAAAAGTTGCATCTTTGATGAAGCAAAAAAAAAGGGCTATCACCACACTGAAATTAAGTTTGAAAAAGGTTGCACACACTTTTCAATTGAGTTCATTCCATTGCAGGCACAGTCTAGCCATTCCAATAGCATAATCCCTATAAATTTTGTAATCTAATAGATCATCAAATTTCACACTTTTATTATTACTGTTAAGTCATGGAAGTACCTGAATATTAAATCTAGTACTCTAAATTGCCCTGTGACGTTTTTCACGGCAATATTGTTTAAGGGTGATGGTGTGGGAGTCCTGGAAGCTTCATATGGTTTGACTGTCATACCAAAAGATTCCATTCCACTTTTCATAAACTATAATAAATTATAAGTTGTTAAAGATATAGGTGCCAGTACCAAAAGGTAATGTGTTCCTCACCAGGGACCTTTGTCAGTTGTTAGTGTATAAATATGTTCAATTCTTCCACAGACTTCAATATTGATTGAGTGTAGTGAAAAATGTGTTTATTCTAGAAACCTCTCTCTCTCACTTTCTCCAAAAAAAGCAAAATTGTCATTGATATCTTCCATTTAGTGACATTCGAAGCAAGGATCTTGAAAACAATTTCTTGGTAAGAAGGAAGTAAGTCAATATTGGACGATGCTGGTTCAATTTTCTGGGTGAATAGTTGCAAACAGATCGCTTCCAGGCAACAATGCTTTCCAGGTAGAGATTAAGCCAAGGTACTAAAATTTCATTTAATCATCTATGTTTGAAAAATCCTTTTAGACAGAGTAACTGGAAACCATCAAATATTATCATATTGGACGTCATTTCTAGGAAGGAAGAATTTATCTCTTCTTTTATAACGGATACACACTGCCATTTGTTTTCAATGCAAGCAAGCTCCAAAGGAACACTACTAGTGACTCCTTGCCTTGGGGCTTGGAGAAGAAACCCACAGCCTAGTTGCTCTTCAGTTTTAAACCAACTGCTGTTACATTTGGCAAACTTCAGAGGCAAAAAGTTGGCATCTTTTGATAGTGCTTTACTCAGTTAAGGTGAACAAATATGAAGTATAGATTTTCACCTGCATTTGATGGGCAAGTTTGCTGAGAAAACTCGTGGGTTCCTTTAACTCACATAAGAAGCTTGCTGATAGATCGTGGGGATCACATGCTCCTAATTTCAATAACTCAAGACTGGAGACTACAAAATTTCTTACGTAAAATCCATCCCTTAAAACAACAACAACGGTTACTAATTTTCGGGTCTACAGAACTCCTCAATGAATGTGAAACAAGTACAGAAGAACACTAGGGTCTGCTTCCTACCTGTGTTCATAGGGTAAATACTTGAGCAGGGCCCAGATTTCCTCACTCATTCCACAGTTGCAGTTCATCATACACAGACTGGGAATCAGCACCTCATCCAACACTGTCAGCAACCCATGAAATACTGGCTCCATAGAGTCCATCAATTCTCCTGACCTTCTCTGAAATAAGAAAATACAATATTGTGTGACAGTGAGTAAGTATGAGTCAATTCTTTCAACTGTTATGATTCTACAGGCAGGCAGAGAACACTGAGAACACTGAAATATTTCATCTATTATAAGCATAACTACCATAGTATTATTCGTTACTGCAAAGTGAAGATGTGTATCCATTATGGTAACCATACAAATGAGTTTCCAGTAATTTTCTGATGGAAAGTCATCTTTGTAGTCTGCTGATAATGATCATAGGTTTAAACTTTTTACTTTCTACACAAAATTAAAGCTATACCTCACAAAGCTTTTGGTCACTCTGAGGAAGGTCATGGTATAAGTTCATGTGGAAAGTGAAAAGTATGAACCAAATCTATTCATTATTTCATATATATCTATTCGATCGTATATTTCTCTTTTTATTAATTCTCTTATTCTTCTTTTTTTTTTTTTTTTGTAGTTAACTAAATGTTTTTTTAAGTAAACTGCAACTGATGTGTCCATAAATCCTTGTCATTGTCGTTAAAAGTAAGGTTTGGATAATCTGAATATATAAGCTGGCACTTTTCTATGAGACATTTCCATATTCAATCACTCATTAAATGACAAAATATCACAATAATGAAATGCTTCAGACAAAATAATATGAAGATTATATATTCCTATCCTGAATAAAGTTGGATTTTAATGGGTGCAAACTTTTATAAGAAGACACACTTGTAATTTTTTTTTTTTTTTTTTTTTTTTTTTTGAAAAAATTCAGGTCTACCTTCTGAATTCTCTAGTGTTCTACAGCTAGTCATGAAAATAATTCCATGTACTCCCCGGTTGGAGGGGATCACTAACACTATCAGTTTTTTCATGTCAAATTCCATTAATGTCTGGCCCTATTTTGTAATTCTGTGAACACCTGTATCAATCTGAAACTCCATTAGACTCAAGGAAAAGCCATGTATCAATTACCTTAGAAATAGCTGTTGCAAGTTTTTCAACCCTTTTTTGTCATGTTTTAAGTGTTGTCTAATTCAGTCACTGGGTCATCAGTTTTAAATATCACTTACAAAAAAAGGATTCCTGTCAATTTCCCTCTTTTTAAATTTCTCTTTTTATCTTTCTCGTGTTTGTAGCAATCACACCAATCTGGACATCAGTTTAAATTCTGAATTCATTCGCTACGAATCCTTGCAACATTTGTTTCAACTTGTAAAAGCTTTGAAAAAGTAACCATCCAGAGCACTCTATTTTTTACACATGTAAGAGATAAGACTATACACTTCTACCCAATATCCTTGAAACTTACAGTATCTTCTTTTACCATCAATTTTATAGCCTGTATCTTAGCAAGAGAACTTTTTTTCCCCAAAATCTAATTCCGTTTTTAACCTTGGCTCCATAACTCAAAAGCATCGCAAATTGCGACCCAGCGTTAATGCCTCTATTCCATAACTTGTGTTTTACTAGCCCCATATAATAGTTTCGTAACAAAAGGTGATCTCACTATTCGCAATTCGGGATGCTTTCGAGTTACGGAGCCCTGGGCCCTGTTCATTTTTAAACACAAATCCTAAATTTATTGCCACAAATTATTGCAATCAATCAATCCACCAACCAACCATTCAATCACCCAATCAGTCAATCAATCAAAATGCCCAGTCTTAAATTTGACTAATTTATCAGCTCTTTAAATCACAGAAAATTAAATAAGAACAAAAAACTTGACTGAGTCTGAATATTTATCAGTGGGTGTTTGAAGCTGAAGTATCAGTTTTCATCATCAGCAAGAGATCTAAGGTGGGCCCAGACTACATCACTCAACATCAAATCACTTCCAGAAGTGAAAAAGGCCTCAGAAAATCCACATCAAAAAACAAAAACTATCTAAAAATACCATCTCTAGTGTCTTCACCAGGATCACAAAAATATCTTTTCTTCTTTTAAAAATATTTTAGAAAATAATTATAAAATATCATAGCACACTACCCATTTTCACATTCATCTTCAGCACTTATGTCATGTCTATCAAGAATCTGGTTATTTCAAAACATAACAAGGCAGCAAAGCTGGCAAATGTACAGACAAAGAACAGAAAATAAAGATGCAAATAAGTGAAAAATTAAATTTTCACAAAAAACTGTTAAATTGCCAGAAAAATTTACCAAACAGACTGCGTTGCCTATTGAAGCTGTATGTTAGACCCATGTTTCTTTCCTGTAAGTTTGAGAACAGTAAGTGACATGATTTCCCTTAAATGGTCATCATAGGAGCAGTGCCCAAAATAGGGATTTCTTCAAATTTTGATGCAACATTNTAAAAGTGCACGGCGACGACGGCGACGACGGCGCCAACGCGACGACAGACGCAGATGATGGCTATATGTACAGACACATCTGTGTCTGTACATAAAAAGTAAACAACTTAAATTAATATTCTTTAATATGAATCATCCCATCCAAGACGAAAAAATCAAATAAATAATCATTCTTCTATATAAACCATTTCATATCCCATCAAATTATCAACCATCTTAAAATATACCTTTTCCATGAATGTTTTGAGCACCCGTATCAGTTTGACCATCAGCTTGGGGTCACAGGAGAGGCTGGGCCCCAGGTAAGCCAGCATGGGGAAGGCTACTGTGACCAGGTCTCCAAAGGTGTGACACTGGGTTACAGAGAGACCCAGCCTGGGGGTGTACTTAAACACTTTAGCAGGAAGACCACTGTACCTAGAATAAATGGAAGGGAGATGGTTAAATAATATATAAATATAAATATCATTTACCATGAAACGCTCCATGAGCTCATAGCTTCGCTAAGGAAAAAAGAGAATAAAAATTCATTTAAAAGTATCAAGAGTCCTATATTTAGTTGTCATTGAAAATCATTAATCTCTCTTTTAAAGAAAAGTTTATCCTGAAATTTTCATCAAAATTTGTGAAAAACGTTCTGAGATATCTTTCCAACAAACAAACAGACAAACTGATGCAAACAAAAATGGGGCCATCTTCATCAGCAGAGGTAAATTATTAATTAATGAAGACAAGGAAATTGATATTGATATTGTTGCTGACAACTTGCTGTGAATCTCTTACACACAGAGAGAAAGAGAGAGAGAAAGAGCGAAAGAGAGAGAGAGAGAGGTGCCCTCACACGAATACAAATTACAGCAAAAAAAATGACCATCATAGCCTTTTAACCCACAATAACAGGGCAACCTAGGCATCTCTTTAAGGTCAAATTAAGGACTGTTTTCTATCTTTTAAGTGCACCAGAGACACTGTCCAACAGGTACTAATAGCTCCTAATATCAGATAAATAAACTATCTGCCCATCCCTTACAAGTACCATATTACTCTCTGAACTGCTTAGAATTTGTCTAGGCAAGTACCCTTATTGCTCCTCTGGGCTCAGTTTGGTATAATATAATTGTAAGTTATAGCCAAACAGCTAGTTCAAGAACTAAAACCAAATTACATTTTCAGTCAAACCCAATAAAAATTGTGCAAGTTGCATATTACAAAAAAGTTTTCATTTTCTTCAACAAGGGCAAAGAGTTAAAAGCCAGTGGAGAAAAATTCTATACACAAGTGCTTGTTTCTAGCATTGGTGTGCATTTATATGCATATGCATGTGTGTATGTGTGTGTGTGTGTGGGTGAAGGAACAAGAGAGAAGAGGGACTTACTGTCTATATAAAGGATCCAGAATAATGTGCAGAAGAGCACACAGGCCCTGAGCAATGGGAGGTTGAGCCGTGGCTGAATATTGAGGCAATCTCTTGATTATCTGTTCCGCGTGGTTCCAGTCTCCAACAGCCAGCAAAGACTCACACAGACCCAGCTTCTGGTTGTTGTTCTGAAACAAGAAAATCATTAATATTTTCTTTTGTAATACAATTTATCTCTTTTAAGAATCTTAGGAAATCTTTTTGGTTATTCCAGATAAAATTTAGTTACTGATGAGCAAACCAAATTAATTAAGTATACATATGTGAAAACATTTTACGGGGAAAAGGCAAAATAAATTTCCAAGAGCTGTTTTTAATAACATTTTAATATATGAAAAAAAAAAGAATAATAAGACTAAGATCAGAAACAAACACGAAAACTTTCTACATGACTAAATGAATTAAATTCTATCATCAAAGGACAAATTAAAATAGTTGCAGGACAGCTTCCTGGGAAGGGTAGTATGTTAATTGTTAATAATCAGAGAGATCCCATCATACATCACTGACAATAACCTTGTTAACCCAATAATGCTTTTTTTCCTAGTTTTATCATTACTATATAATCCTGAAAACATAATTTAATATAATTTTTTTTCTTTCATACATTATATAGTATTTATTTTCAGGAAAAAAGCGGGAAAATGAATACGTCTGGTAATATTAAGAATCAATAATTCATTTTGTCACAGCTTGCTTTATTTGCCAAGATGTTAAGAAATGTCGAATGGGGAGTCTCTCATGCAAAATATATTTCTCTTGAAAGAGTCAATCAAATATCAAATATGATGACCAAAAACAATCATCACACAGCTTTTATTATGCCATAGAAGTAAACAAGGTTTGATTAAATACACAGCTACATCAATAAAACTTTGGTCTCTAATCAAAGGTTAATGACCCTCAGCAGAATAAGAGACCTTCCAGTGACGCATTTTGCCTCACGTTAATAAAGGACACAGATAACAGGACCCTTGCCAAGACAGTGAAAGGAAAAACGTAGATTAAATCAGTAATTCAAGGCCAAAATGTCACATTTGATAACTACTGGGTTATCTTTATGATGTAAAAAGCCATTTTAGACATGTAATATCTCATGATCCTTTGATAATATGATTGAGCTCTGGGTCAACTGGCAGCCTAAGGGAGAAGAGATGACCACAGAGTAAAAAACAAGCACTCAGTTCTATTACACTATGAATATACAAAGAGGTTCACAAATGTTTCAATTACAAAAGAGAATCAAAATGATGAGTGTCAAAATTGACTACTTCTTATTCGATGTGACCATGGTTATTGCATATAACACTGTAGTAAGTACGAAAAGGTTAATCAATTTCAACTTGAATGATCATCATAAAAACAATGCTTATCTGAGGCTAAATTTTATGGTGTCATGAAATCTCATTTTCCCCCATATTTTTAAGGTTTAAGTGGCAAAAATGTGGCATACTTTAAGTGAACAATTCAAGAATGTATATTTCTATTTTTTTATTTTATTTATTTATTTATTTATTTTTTATTATTATTATTATTTTTTTTTTTTTGTTAGGATGACATTCAAAAAACAGATCTGCCAAGATTCCAGATTTACCTGCTTTATTTTACCAGAATCATCTTCATTTTCCTTCTCCTCTTTTGCCTTGTCTGATAGGATGACGACGTTGAGTTTTCTGGCGTATTCTCTGGCACTGGTGACCTCCTTTTTGAAGCTTTCATTGATGTCACTATCTGAGGGGCTCAACTGTAACACAATAGAAAATAAATTTATATTGACTTAACATAACAACAAAAATTAACATCATGATACAAATGTTCATTTACTTTTAATTACGATAATTAAGTACCTTTAATTAAGTGACTGAGCAGTTAGGATTCTCTAATTCAGTAATAACTGTAAACTGCTCACATCTTGATGTTGTGCTTTTCCCTTAACAAGCAAGACAAATTGCCTTGAACTTCTAGTTTTGAATGAGTACCTAAATTTACATTTTAGTATCATAATATGACATGCTTTTCTAAGTTGGATTAGATTTATTTGGGAATAACATGGTTTTTATCTTATCCAAACATGAAAAAATATATCCAAACACTTCCTGAATCATGTGTGAAAAGTCAAATTCTAATCTGGCTATTGGATAAAACAAATCTAACTGTCTCACACCATCTTGTATTGGCATGATGTACTTGTAATGACCCTATAAAGGCTGAAAAGCAAGCAAAGATGTCTAGCGGTGCAAAATAATATGAAGCGCAAAGCAGAAAATGATCTACTTAAGTTTCTGAATCAGTTTCACATCAGTTTAGGAGAAGATAAAATATAACCTTTACTCAAAGCCTCCTTGTACCCCTAGGGTGCAAAGTAATGCCTCTTCACAGTAATGTCAAGTTATTTTGAGTCATTTTTGTTTTTGATGAAAATTGCTGACATGGTTGGAAAACTCTCCAGTGGGGTCTAATGACAATATAATGCTATAGGTTGCAGTGTTAAAGAGCATCCCACTAGAACAAACCCTAACAGGGTCACAGCTATACTATTAAGGCAAAAAATATTAGAGAAACAAATGTATGTTTACCAAGTTTGGTCAAGTTCAACTATCTGCCTGTAAAAAGTTAACAAGCTCAATGCCTCTTTTCCATCTTTATGTTAAAATTAGCGTAAAATCAAATTATCGTAGATTAAGTCATATGTCAAATAAGTTCTAAAAAATTTAACGTCGAGTACCAGGCATGCTGATGGAGCTGACGAAATTTTGCCATAGGGTAAATTGGCTCAAATAGACCAGCGAGTGAGCCATTGACTTGCATAGCAACTACACCAAAACTACCTACAACTTCTTCCTCCTCATGTCAGTAAGCTGTTCGCCATTTGTTATTTTTATTCAATCAGCTGACACTTTCCACAACCAGTTCCAATACGACCCCCAATGCCATGTGCAAAACTATCAATTAGACTGTTATTATTTGCCATAGCCAGGAGAAGAAACCCCATAATTAATTCATCTCATTGACTTTACATGTAAAGTTTTATTCATCCATTTAGCGATGTGGACTTAGGGATGATATGCAGGGCTATAGACAATTACTGTTCCAGACTTACAAGTCAATACCAAGTCCTCCATGGCCAAGAAAACCTTGCTTGTTTCACAGAAATGAACTTGACATCATGACGCATGCGACTTGGCCAATGCAATCAATACATTTGCCCCCATTTAATTTGAACATTTTGCCTAGAAGGGATAACTACAAGACTTCTTCCATGAAGTATCTATAGGTACTGCATGCACTCAATGCAGGGCTTGATGCTGTTGCTGCATGGAGCATTTACAGATTTTTTTTATCTACCAAATCTTGCTGACATACTACTGTGACAATACTAAGGAGAGGGCATCACAGCTCTTAAACTTCACTAAGTGCTACTGTCGAATTTGGATATAATATTTATTCAATGTTCTGCTTGGTATCATATCACTTTTGCTGAAAATCTGATCAAGGTAATGATATTTTTGTTGATGTTCATCTTGCTTTTGTTGTAGCTGTTTCGTGCAGTAGTTAGCGTCACTGACTGGACTCTTCCATAAGGAGAAAAGTTATTGTATCCAGGAAAGTGCATCCCAACACAATGGTGACAGCTTCAGTGTCAACAGACAGAGATAATGGCCATAGAAAGTCTTTATAATCATTGTGACATTTAATATATCCTCTTAGTAATTGAAGTATGTGCTTGGCTAATGAAATTGGTTGTATTCAAAGCTCACTCTTTTGTCTCACAAGTTGGTGAGAAGAGGTTTCTTTCTGAGGTTTGAAGAAAACATAGAAAATATCACAGCTGTCATTATTCTACCCACATAATGTAGAATGGACTTAGTTGACTTTACACTGAAGATAGGCAGTCTCTTCTCAGTGCATCTTTCCTCTGCAGGCCAAACATGGTCATGGCCAAGGGCCCATTTTACACAAGTTCTTTTGCCTCAAAACTGATGTAATTCACTAATAAGTTTTAGACCAACATTTTGATCAAATTTGACACAAAATAAATTGGTGGTAGTCCATGCAAATGGAATACCATGCATGTTTTATAATAGGAGGCATGGCTTTTGCTAAAGATCAATACCTATTTCATTTAAATGGACTACTGTGGATTTATCTGGAACCCACAAAAATGTTGCTTCTAAAAATTTAGACCAATTTAGACTATAGCAACTTTGTGAAACAGGCCCCAGCCAATGGAATCCTTTGGTCAATGATCAACCTACCAAGATGGCTTGACCCATCTTCAATGTTAATGTGACTTAGGGCTGTGTATTCATAAAGAGAGGATTGTCAAATGTGACAGGCAAAAGAAAGTCAAAGGATATGCTTTACTGCACATTATTCTGCATCTATTGTAAGATGCATCTCCAGAGAACACAACCGGCCGACTGTTATGAAACACTGCACAAAAGTTTTATCATATCCCCAATGACACGAATCTGACACCAATATTTAATCTACAGCCTCTATGCAATAAACATCAGCAGGTAAGATGTGCTTACTCACAATTATATCTGAAGTATTTAGGCAACAGCTATAGTTATTGTAT